GCGAAGTGGTAAAGCGGTTTAAGTCGACTTATCTCCCAGTTGAGTTTTTGAGGAATATTTCCGAATCTAAGGGAGATAGAAAAATTTTCATAATTACATTTGTTGTAGCACTCAATCGGCTCTACAAAAAAGGTTATAACAACAATTTCGCTATCTTCCTTAGATTCCGAGATGTTCATTGAAAACTGATCAATAGTCCAAATTGACTTTTACCGTTTTACCACTTCGCTACTGAATTATTTCGAACACTATTAGTTTCATAAAAAAGTATCAAGAAAACTTGTAGAGTATTAAATCTCTAAAACAAAATGTCTCTCGACATTTTCCATAGAATCCCCCATCATCGAGATAATTAAATGTTTGAGAATACCTGAAAAATTGATTTTGTTCTCTTCTATTGCCTTTTACCACTTCACTACTGATTATTCTCATTTCACCGCATTCGGTGATAATAAATATCTAAACATTAAAATTCCTCACTAAATATCCTTCTCAAAAATTCATAATTCACGTGCAATGAAAATTCCCCGAGTATTAAATGTCGCCAAAAGAATTTAATTATTAGTTAGTGATGCTCTTATCGTCCTCCACTGCCCCATCACAATTACCACCCTTCGTATACAAAAATTTCCCCCGTTCAGATGAGTTGAAGATTATTTCCTCTGTTTGAAGTGGGAATTTACCAGAGCATTTTACGCACTGAAGTGTCACCACTCAAATTTGCATTTTTCTTAATTTCCCAGTCATTAATGAAATATTTATTCCTCCCCCTACAGCCCGTAGCGGAGGAGCCCTTCAAATTCGACATGGAGCTGGACGATCTTCCAAAAGAAGTATTGAAACAGTTGATATTTGAAGAGACAACTCAGTTCGCACGAAACCAAGAGAATGCCATGTAGTCGTACATGCCAATCACCTAACTGACGTGTATCTACGACTCAGACACACCAAAGCGCAGAATTGATGATCAACCCGCCCCAAATAAGAGAATCAAGGTTTATCATTAATGAACTTCGCCGAAAGATGAATCCACAAAGATTATTGAAATGAATTTTTAAATGTTCCAAAATCACTCTTGGACAGCTGTTGTGCGTGTGTGCAGGGGGACTATTCGAATTTTCCACCTCAAGCTGATGATTTTTTCCAAAATTCTATTTGTTTTGCTAGTGAAGAAGAGACAGATGGATGAATAGAGAAAATAACACTGGAGGACGATATTTTTTTTGTTTGATTTCTTTCCCCCGATGTTAATTCAATTTCATCAATTAATTTTCTTTCTTGGATTAGAGAGGAATTCAATTGTTGACTCATGTGCTGTCTGTGATTTTTATTGTATAAAAGGTGATTGAAATGTGGAGAATGGGTGGATGGGAGGAATGGGAGTTCGGTGGTGAAGTGGTTGAATTTTTTAGAACTACAGGATTCAGAGGTGTTCATCATAAACAGTTGAAGTGGAGTGATGAAACGAAATCATTCAATTTTTCTTAGAGTTCAGTTTTTGGGGAATATCTTGGGATTGAAGGGATATAGTGAAATTTTTATGAGGACCATTTTTGTAGAGAATTTTTAGGGCTATAAAAAAGGTCTTCATGAAAATTTCGCCGTCTCCATTAGATTCTGAGATATTCAGCGAAGATCGATTGACGAATTGTAAAGTTGATTGTTTTCGTTGCATTTTAGGTTGTGATGAACGTCTTGGAGTCTAGGGGAGATAGGGGAATTCTTGTGAGGACACTTTGTTATCTCCCCTCAATTCCAAGATATCTATCATCCTGAACATTGTGCCATCTCCCTTCAATCTCACGATATTGATCAAAAACTGATTGTAAATCCATTGTTTTCGTTCTCCCACTCCATTTATCATTTTTTATCAACTTCCTTTGAATTCATTGGGAGAACCATCAGAGATAGAGTAAAATGTTCAGTAGACAAAATGTTCAGCATGAAAAGACGAATATTTTTCACGCGCAAAGTTTTCCTCCATCTGTGATTGTTTTCAAGATATCGACAACTTGAAAATTTTATTAGCTTGAAAAACGCAAAATCAGTCGATTTTTTCCCCCATCTACTTCCACCGCACCACCGAATTATTTCAATTTTTCAATAATTATCCCACTTTCATTCCCAAAAATTTTAGGTCAAAATACTCTAGCATTAGAATTTTACCAATTAACCGAACGGAAAAGCAAAAAAAAAGCAAAGGAGAAAAAAATAATAATCTGTTTCTTGTCTCAATGTGTGAATACTTGTAACTTCGATGAAATTCCTTTTTAAATAACTAAACAACATAACAAAAAACATCAAGAAAACACAAAAAAAGAGAATTGATAATAATCATAAATTTCTTCCATTCCATTTTTGAATTTTTGTGTAAATTAATTCGTCCAGTGATTCCTCATTGTTAAAGTGCATTTAATCGTTTAAGAAAAGGATAATCAAGAAAAATGGGAAAAAAATATTATAAATATGTATTGATCATCTCAGGCTATTTATCAACTCGCAACTTTTTTTCTGAGTGAACGAGAAGAAAAATAATACAACACGAGGTGAACGCGCACTCGTTCTTGTGTGTTGATTGGCATGAGAAAAAAAATGAGGCTTCAAGGTTTTTTTAGATTACAGGGAGTTTATCCTGAGTAATAGTGAAAATACATGAAAATTACGAGACATTGACGAGCCATCGCTTTTTCAATGATAAAATGTGAATTTTCTTCAGCATAATGATTATTTCGTTAATCATTCGAGATTAATTAATTTTTTAATTAATTCAAAATAGAAAAAAAACACGAATTAGATATTTGTAGTTGTTAATTTTGCGTCCACCTCGGTAATGAGTTGATTTAGAGCAAAATGTCACAAATAATTTTTGCAGGAAATTAAATTCTCTACGAAAAAGGTCTTGTGGCTTTTTCATCTATAATCACTGATTATGAAGATAATGAGATTTTACAAAATGGCTAAAATGGAAAAACGTAAAAAGTAAAATTCAACTTTTTTGTTAATTACGCAATTTTCTTGAAAGCTATTGGTTTTAGAGAAAAATGTTATAAGATATTTTTTTAAGAGAATTTAATTCTCTAAGAAAATCAGTTGACATTTTTCTCTACAGCCCCTCTTTTTCAAAATAATTTGGAATAAATTACAGAAAAATCTCGTTTCCACCAAAAAATTCCTTGAACCCTCATAATTAAAAATTCTAGTGAAAAATCAATTGATATAACTAATTATCGAATATCTTCTGGCCTAATATACTTAAACGTTATGTATGTGTATTTGTTGTTGTTGCTGAATTCATATCTCAATATCTCAAGAATTGGAACCAAAAATTGAGCGAGAATAATAAAAAAATCAAGTATTTCATCTACTTACGATTTGTCAGTGTTAAAATTAATCGCAAAAGCGAAAAAAGGGAAAGAAGAGAGTGAGATGCAGAAGCCCTAGACTAGATTCCCGTAATTCCATGAACCAAAAATTAAATACTTGAATTTTCACTGATTAATTCGACGGAAAATCGATTAAAATCAACTTCGAAAATTGAAAAAAATGAAGAAAAAATTGATTTGTTGGCTGCATTCATAGAAATTTGATGAAACATTTTTCGCAAAGACTAATGAAACCAACGTGCTGCCTTCGAAATTCGATGAAAAAAAATTAAGTGAGAAATATAAATGAATGAATTATTAACAATAAAGTGAAGAAAAAAAATTAATTATCAAAAAGAGGAGAAATAAAACCCAAGTTCAGATTACAAAGAAAAAAAAGAATTAAGAGATGAAAATCGTAGCCTGGATGCAATGAGCAAGAGATGCAGTAAAAATGTGGAATCGATAGAGTGAAAACGAGTAGAAGGCCAACAATAGTAGAGATTTCTAGCTGTAAATTGATGAAGAGATGAATAAAATGCATAATGAAACAGGCGAATGATCAAAGTTGACTAAGAGTACCTTGAGATACTAGAGAGTAGTGTTTAGGTGTTAAAAAAGTGACATTTTTCAACGGTTTTGTGACTTGTCTTCCCAGGACAATGTGCCAGTTTGATGATTCTCCTCGGTTTATTGGAGAGTTTATTTACCCCAGAGATCATTGATTCAAGATCATTTTCTATCTCCAAGTGATTGATGAAGTTTTGAAACGAGACGTATCGATTTCAATTCGAAAAACTAATTAATTCGTCTCGTTTCACCAGTTCACATCTGATATCTCCCCATAAGCAAATTAAAATCCAAAATCCTTCACTCCAAATGTACTAGAATGCATAATGAATGAGTGTATCAAGATTATCACGGCACAAAAGCGATTTTTTGAATTCATGTGGTTGTAATCACAGTGATGAAACGAGTGATAAACCAATTGTTCATTGAAATAACGAGGATTAAACGAAATCTATGAATGTAGCTCTGAGTATTTCTTGCACTTGAGATAATTTTATTTGTCATTGTGCACTCCATTAAGGTGCACGATGGCTGAATTCCTGTTGTCCTCAGGTGTTTCAGTGGTAATTCCTTCAATTAGTGATACTCATCAAAGATCATACAGGGATTTTTGATGACGAAGAACAATTACCTTGGCGATTATCAATTACTTTGATCCACATAAAATTCCAAAAATTTCAACTAAATTGTTAATTACCAATAGAAAAGTTGATGATGGATTAATTGATGAGTTGATGAATTTTATTTATGAATTATTGATTAATTCTTCCCCTTCAGAACATTAAAAAATAAAACTATTGTTACTCAATGTGAATTGTAAATGTATTAAACAAAAATTCATTGTCAATTTACTGTAATGACGAGACAAAATTGCATTATTCAAAGTATTATTGTGCTAATTGAAATTAAAGTGGTTTTATTGACCAATTGAATTCAATACGTTTCCAATAAATTATTTATTTCATCAGGAATGTCGAGGATGTCAAATGAATAAAAAAATGATGCTCGCGGCATTTTTTATGAAGGAATTGGGAAGAGAATCAACGAAATAACATGCCTGTGCTCCTGTTTTCATTCAATACTCATCTCTTTTATTGTGCTTTCATCGTCATCACCATTTTCCTCATTTCGTTAATTACTCGTGAAAAAATCTCTCTCAGCATGATTTTAACTTTCTTTAAATGTAGTATCTTTTCTTTGTGATTGGAAAAATTTTTATAAAAATTTATACAGCGTCATCTCTCCGCTTATATTTCTCATTTTTCACTTCTATTCTCAGTGGAGATCTCTCTCGTTTTTGATGGCCCAGTCGAGATCTCAAATCTGCTTTTAATTTTCTGGAATTTCCACTGAAAATAATGAAAGACTTAATTAAGTAATTAAACGTCCAATTAATTAATATATTGCTCATTTAATTAGCAAAAAAATAATCAATTAAGGCCCGGGTGTTTTTCCATCTTCATAATGTAAAATATCACAATTTCCAATGGACATTACATCTCGCAGGAGTCCCTAAAAATTATGATTGTACAATCAAAAGAAGTAGAAAAAAAACTGAACATTTTCAAAGAGCGTTTTTAATAGAAATTAAGGAATAAGTCCGATAGAGAGGAAATAGTGAATGGATAATAACGATCTGACAGCCAGTTCTAATGTGACAAATGACGACCTAACAGCCATTAGATACATCAAATTATTAATTTGCAATTTCCTCCCTATTGGCTTTATTTCCCAATATTATTAAAAAACACTCTCTGAAAATGTTCAGCTTTTTTTCAACGTTTTCTTGATTGTACAATCATAATTTTTGGAGACTCCAGGGCTATGTAAAACTGAATGGCAATTGGAGATCATTTCAGATTATCAAAATAAAAAAACAACAACCAAGATCACGTTCGAAAGATAATCCACAAATTTTCGCCATCAAAACTTCTCAATATTTTTCCATTCTCCTGAACGGAAAATTATTATTCTCATCCGTACTCCCAGTAATAAAAAAAAAGTTAATAAACGGAAGTGAATAAAAAAATACTTAATAAAAAAAGTTTTCCCTTCCCTAATTAATTAATATCCTCACCTATCGGCCTGTGAATTATCACTCTGACCCTTGACATTGAGCCTCGCCCAGACAGTGGAGGCCACCCTGGGCTTGTACCTTGGAACGACCTTAATTACACTCCCCTTTGGCCCCTGGATCTCCTTCTCGGAGATGTCACTGTCACTGCTGCTGGACTCTGACTCGTCTTCCTCCTCGAATGGCCCCTCCACCTCCTCCCACTCCCCTTCCTCCTTCTCAGAGTCCTCCACCTCGTCTTCCTCGACCTCCTCCACTTCCTCTTCTTCTTCCTCTTCTTCTTCTACAGTTCTTCTCGATCTGTATTTCTCCGGGGTGTTTGTCACAATCACTTGAATGTCCTCTCGATAAATCGGAGGGGGTTTCCTTCGTCCTAGGCGCGATCTCAAGTCTGCGCTTTCCTCCTGCTTCTGGAAATTTCAATTATTGAGGATGATTTTTCAATTTTTCAGCTGAAGCCGATGATTAATTCCGCAATTCAATTTTTTAGGTGAAGAAGAGACAGAGTGGATGAATTTCAATTTCACGAAATAATTTTCTTTCTTGGATTGGAGGGGAATTCAATTATTGACTCGTATGCTGCCTGTGATTATTATTGTGTAAACGGCGATTGAAATGTGAAGATTGATTGACCAATTATAAAATTAATTTTTCTTGTTGCATTTTAGTTTTTGATGAATGTCTTGCAGTCTAGGGGAGCTGGGGGAATTCTTGTGAGAACACTGCGTGACCTTCCCTCAATCCCAATATATTTATCATCATGAAAATTTTGCCATCTGCCTTCAATCTCAAAAACTGAGTGTAAATTGATTTTTTTTCGTTTTCCCACTCCATTCCTGATTTCTTTATCAACTTTCTTTGAATTTATTGGGAGAACCGTCAGAGATAGAGAGAAACATTCAACAAACAAAATGTTCAGCACGAAAGGACGAACATTTTTCATGCAAAAATTTGTCCTCCATCTGCGACTGTTGTCGAGCTATCGCGAATTGAAAAATTTTGCTACCCCAAAAAAAAACACGAATGATCACCTTTCTGGTCAACTCTTTGAGTTTCTTCTTCTTCACCTTCTCCTCCTCGTCATCGGCGTGCATCCTCATCCTGGGGATCTTGCTGCGCTTCGCCCACTCCTCCTCACTGTCATTGCTCCCTGAATCCTCGGAGGAACTCACCTCCACCACCACCTCTCTCCTCTCGATTTCTTTCGTTGGCTTCAACCCCAGTCTCTCCTTCACATTCCCTCGTTCCGGCCGCTCTGAGAACCCTCTCCTTATGTAGTTGTCCTCCACATCCTCATGTGCACCCCAGTTCTCAGACAACTCCCCCCAGGGGTTCTTCCCTCTCTCCTTCTCATCATTTTCTGAGGTTTCACTCGATCTTCGGGGTTTCACAGTTCTTATTTGTTTGTATTGCCTCTTTCGGGATTCTGTTAGTATTCCCCTCATTCCTAATGGAGAAAAATCATGAATGAGGTTAATAAAAAATGGAGGATTGATACAAAAAATCTTGGAAATTAATCTAGGTCTCTTGCGAAATGATATAAAAAAATAAGAAACCTAAATTGAGGGGAACAAGAGAATTATGTCTCAACTAAATTGTGAATATCTCTGCTCCTACTAGGTTTAGCAGAAAATACCACAAGACATCTTCACAGAAAATTTAATTCTCTACAAAAAGTTTGTGTGACATTTTCTTCTAAAATCCCTCACTACCGAGATCATTAAACTTAATTAGAAACATGAAATTTGATTAATTACAATTTATCAATTTACTGCTCTTGGTAAATCTGCAATTATCTCAGTGGCGAGTGATTTTATTTAAAAATGTCAAAAGACATTTTTTATAGAGAATTAATTTTCCCACAAAAAGTTCCTACGACATTTCCTCCTGAACCGATTAGTTTTGTCCGTATTAGTAAAAGACTTTTTATCCAAGTCACAAAAAAATAATTGCTCACCTCCAAAATTGGGATTTCCATATTTCTTGTAGTATTCACTCATCTTCTCAGCCCTCGGTTGCTTCTTATCATTCCTAGTAGCGAACCTGAGGAAGATGCCCTTAGATTTCGGCGAATCCACCCCCTTCCGCCATAACCCTGGAGGGAGAGGGCACTCAACATCCTTCAGATTGATTGTGCTTTCGTTCTTGGGGTCGTCGACCTCGATCAAGTTGTCTTCATGCGTGTATCTTCCTTTTTCCTGGATTTCCAGGTGATCCCGAAGACCGATTATTCTTTTGGAGAGACCCAGGAGAGCTCTGGCTGCAGAAACATTGTCCAGCCACACGACGTTACCTAATGAAGAAAAATTAATTTGATGAAACATTTTTTGCAAAGACTAATGAAACCAACGTGCTGCCCTCGAAATTCGATGAAAATAAAATTAAGTGAGAAATATAAATGAATTATTAACAATAAAGAGAAGAAAAAGAATTAATTATCAAAAAGAGGAGAAATAACACCCAGTAAGTTCCGATTACAAAGAAAAAAAAATTAAAAGAGATGAAAATCGTAGCCTGGATGCAATGAGCAAGAGATGCAGTAAAAATGTGGAATCGATAGAGTGAAAACGAGTTGAAGGCCAACAATAGTAGAGATTTCTAGCTGTAAATTGATGAAGAGATGAATAAAATGCATAATGAAACAGGCGAATGATCAAAGTTGACTAAGAGTACCTTGAGATACTAGAGAGTAGTGTTTAGGTGTTAAAAAAGTGTATCAAGATTATCACGGCACAAAAGTGATTTTATGTTTATGTATGATCAGAATGTGAGGATCACAATTTCCGTAGATAAGCTCTCCATGCTAAACATAAAATATTTAAAGATAAATGAAGGGATTCCGTTCTACGTAAGAGGTCACTTTGTTTGAGAGAATTTATGCAAATAATGATGGAATGAAGTTTCGGAAGGAGAAAACGGAGGGAATTTATCACTCTTACAGGAAACATCGTTGATCCACTCGATCGCCGCTGCTGGGTAGTGCTCGAAGTACTTGAAGACGTCTTTGGTGCTCATCTCCTCGGTTCCCCTCATGTGTAGAACGTTGAGTCTTATGTGCTTGCTGTTTTCGTTGTCCTCGTCGACTCCCATGCTATGCAAAAGCACCAGGAATTCATGAATTCGCAGCGAATTCTCGTGACAGTTCAGAATTTGCTGGACTACTTTTCGATTTCCAATATCTCGAGAACAATTCAGTAGCGAAGTGGTAAAACGGTTTAAGTCGACTCATCTCCCAGTTGAGTTTTCGAGGAATATTTCGGAATCTAAGGGAGATAGCGAAATTTTCGTAATCACATTTTTTGTAGCTCTCAATCGGCTCTACAAAAAAAGGTTATAACAAAAATTTTGCCATCTCTCTTAGATTGTGAGAGATTCATTGAAAACGGGTGAATAGTCAAAATTGACTTGTACCGTTTTACCACTTCGCTACTGAATTGCAGATAGAGAAAAACCTCCTCCACTGTAACTTTGCCTATTAACCAATCCCCAAAAAGAAACGACATTATAACTCTAGATCCAACTCACCTGGAGTACAGCTCCTCCTCATTCTCCAGCCCTCCGTCATTCTTGCTGAGTCCAAACCTCTTGGCCCTCTCCTGCATCTTCCTCCGCTCCTCCTCCCCAAAAATATCAATTCCAGTGGTGAATGCACCGCCTTTATTCTCATGTCGAGTCTCCACAACAAAATTGTCATCCTCAATGACACCCTCGTCACTATCAGCAGTCCCTCCGACGTCCTCGCCGCTCTCCTCTTCCCTGAACGTCGTCTCCACTTCCATCGGCTCCTCCATGCTCTCTGTGATGTTCCAGTATAATAAAAAAAACTTTCCCACCACCGGACCTTACTGTTTTTGAGGTTTGGAACATTGGAACAAGGAACAACTGGGAACAACCAACTCAACTGCGCGCTGCGACGCGCGGAGATTAGAGGAAAATTGTGACGTCATTATCCTCTCACCTGCCGTTTTTTTGGCTGATATCCTCGTATCCGAAAGCCAAATGCAGTGCTGTCACAAAGCACTCCGAGGGGAAAAGTTCCCCGGCCATAGAAAAAAATGTTGTATCAAAATGGACTGTTGTTATACGGGTTCATTGGATTTAATAAATGATGACGAAAGGTGAATGAAGAATTGTATAACATTGCGCTTGAATGACTCGTAAATCCTATCAAAAACAATAAAACGACAATGCTAATCTCCTCAATACAATACTCTCGAAAACAAACCCACGCGTTATTGGACAAACTGTTTAATTGATGGCCGGTAATGTGGGAATCGTTACTACCTTTAGAATCTCAATCGGTCAGGAATTGGTAACCCCGTCAGCAAATTCAAAAAATACTACGTGTTCAAGTAAAACACTGCATTAAATCATAAATAAAAATATTTAAAATATTTTTAAGATTCAGTGAATCAATGAAGACAAATCTTACTTGTTAGGGAAATTCGCAATAACTATTTCAAGATTATCTCGCAACTCTAGAAATTTCTTGATTTATGTCTCGGGGAATTAATATTTACTTCATTCTCACTCAATTTTTTGACACGTGTCATAATTAACATCAAGACTTTATCTTCAGAAATTGAAATCCCTACATTCTGATGACAAAATATTAGAGCGGTTTTCTTGACCTGGTTTTTTTCCAACTTATCTGAGTGAGTTTCTTCAAAATTACTTTTTTTTGTTTTTATGACGTTTTTCTTCAAATTACTTTTTTCTGTTTTTATGACGTTTTTCTTAAGAAAAACGTCATAAAAACAAAAAAAGTAATTTTGAAGAAACTCATTCAGATAAGTTGGAGAAAAACCAGGTCAAGAAAAGCGCTCTAATATTTTGTCATGGAGTTCTGTTTGAACCTTCGACGAGTGAGGACGTATTTTGAAATCGCTCCGTGTAAAGGTGTATACAGTGGAAAGTTTACAAGACAACTAGTTTAGCCCTAATATTGGGCGGCCTGCCCGATTACCACCATTTTCCAATCACTCCCACTATGGATGATTTGGAGGAAATAATGACATGCAGCAGTGCAGCTGCCCCAAGCCCAATATCACAGTAACCGAGAACATTTGCACAAGCAACCAGTCAACCGCAAATCCAGGAGCATTTTCCGACTGAGGAACAAGGCGCTGTAATTAGTGCAATTCAGGGTGTGCAGATGAAGGATTACATTTATGCAATTGGGGACATACTGGGACCCTCGAGTGTAGTTGCAGCCCACAGAATTCCAGGAAACAGAGTATCCATGTACCTTAAATCTGCTGATCTAGCGGATTCACTCACATCACCCAATACTAATGTTTTCATCGGCGATACCAAATTAGTTATCTTCCCAGAAAAAGCCAAATCCAGAAGAGTTATATTGTCAAATGTTTCTCCAAAATGACCGCATGCAGCAATTGAAAATGCCTTTAGAGAACTGCAGATTAACCCCAGTGACGAAAATCTCCACCCTCAATTTCAGCCTTAATCGAGGGGGATATATACAGTGGGAAGTTCTAGAAGGCAGTTTCAAATTAAAGAAGAGGATGTTATGAAAATTTCAGAAGAGATTAAAGTTGTTCATCAAAGTACTCAGTATATGATTACAGTTGTTGTTGACAGTAATGCCTGCTACAAATGTAACAAAACGGGGCATATCTCTAAGCACTGCCCGCAAGGCCCAGCAGCAAAACCACAACGGAGTATGGCCTACAGACTAGAGCAACAAAGGGATAATAGCACTCCTTTGACATCAAGCCCGGAAGCAAATCAATTAAATGACCAAACGGATGAAACTATATCACAGCAACAAGTAAACACGAACATCGGTGCCGTAGATGATAACAATGGGATTACTGAGGATAATCCGTTAATCGTATCTCAGGAGCCCATGGACACGGAGGTCCAAAAGAAAGTAAAACGCACTATATCTGTAGTGGAAAAAGATTCATACACACCAGACAACAACACGGAAGATGAAGACGGAGATTTCGAGCTACCCAAAGGCCAAACAAAAAGGAAAAATAAAAAACCAAAAAATGGGAAAGCTCGCCTTCTCACTTCAGAATTCATGCGCGGCCACTCCCCACGAGCAGCCAGGATAATGAAGAAAAATCCTGATGGTTATTGTTTAAACTACGAGCAATTTATTGATTTAATTGACAAGTCATTTGATACCAAGGACGTCCGTAAGCTTGCTGATGAAATCGGCAAGGATCCATTCCAGATTCTCACCACCATCCGCTATCTGTATCCATACGTGGATGATATCACCTTCAAGGGAAGAATGACGAGCATGGCCAACAAACTAGAGAACATCACCACGAATCCCGAAGAAGATGGATATCTCACAGCATCCTCTCAAAACCAACTGACGTCATGAACCATACACAATACGAACATCAAAAGGACATTGCAGTGTTGCACTGCAATTTGAGAGTCATGTTCTGGAACATCAGAGGGTTTAACAGTCACCGAGAAGATATTGAACGAGCGCTGACGGACCTGAACATTTTCACTGGAGTGGAGACCAAGATCAACCCGATGGATGAGCGGCGCTATAAGTTTCCAGGTTTTAATACACGCCGAGTTGATAAAGACAAGCAGTGTGGTGGCATCATCATACTAACGAGAAATTGTCTATCTATTAAAATACATACTAACGTTACTAATCCGCATCCTAGTGTTGAGCTAGCCGCGTTTGAAATTAATAATGTTGTTCCAAAAATAAATATATTAGTTTGTTATAGGAATCCGGAGGTCAGTCTTGATCGTGAGCAATGGCAGAAGATAGTAGATGTATACAGATCACTCGATAATTATTTATTTATGGGAGATTTTAATGCTCATCATGGAGCATGGAACTGTCAAAAAAATTCTCCTGACGGGCACAGGCTCTATGATTGTATAGAGAAAAATTACATTTTTCTGCATAATACGGATACGATAACTCACATAGATATTTACAGAGGAAAAATGTCTAATATAGATTTAGTCATGAGTAGCCCAGAAATTGCGGATATTGTCTCTGTCAGTGTTCATGGGGAGAACTGGGGCTCTGATCACTACCCGCTATACACACAAAACGTACAAAAGACGCAATACGTTAAAAAATCGCATAAGATTACATCGGTCCGAACGAATTGGGATAAACTAACACAATTATTAACCAAATCATTTGTAGTATTGATAACACCTGCATTTGAAGAACTCAGTCCCATCGAGAAATACAGGTATTTCATCAATATTATTGTTGCGAATGTGGCTAAATGCACCCCTGAAAAAAAATCGGTTCCACCCCATAGACACAGAAATCCAGTAAAATGGTGGGACGAGGAATGTGCTAAAGTATATAGATTGCGACATGCTAGTTATAAAAAATGGAGATACACTAAAACACTTAAAGACCTGATAGAGTACAAAAAAGCAATTGCAATCGCCAAGAAAACATTTAAACAAAAAAAGAAGCAATGCTTCAGAAAATTTTCTGAGAGTCTGAATGTTCGAACCAATATCAAATATCTATGGAATACATGTAAGGTCTTAAAAAAATCTTGGATAAATATAAATAATACTCCTAGAGACAATATTGAAACGCAGAAAAGAATTCTGCAAACGGTGTGCAAGCTGAGTCCAGAGGGCTGTCCAGCAGACCCCAAAAGCATCCCCGTTACAGACGCCAATCCTATTTTCGATCAGTCATTCTCATTTGATGAACTAAATTATGCGTTACACCATCGTAATAAAAAATCAGCGCCGGGGCCAGACGGAATCGATTACATCCTGCTCACTAAATTACCTGCACAAATAAAATTAATTCTCCTTGATATTTTCAACGATATTCATCATTCAGGGCAATATCCACCGGAGTGGATGGACACGTATCTTCATTTTATTCCTAGAGCCAACAATTCTGGGGTCCGACCGATTGCACTTACCTCATGCCTTCTCAAGCTATTTGAAACTATCTTGAAGAATAGGCTCCAGTGGTGGGTTGAGCGCAATGGTAAAATTCCTTTTGCGCAAACGGGATTTAGACCAGGTCTATCGTGTAGGGATAATTTAGTTAATCTCACTCTGCACGTTGAGGATGCATTTCGGGATCAAGAACAGGTATTAGCTGTTTTCTTAGATGTCACTGGTGCTTTTGATAACGTAATTGGAGATATTTTAATCGAGATACTTGCTGAGATTGGCTGTTCTAACTCTATCCTAAAGTTTATTAAATTTATTACGCACCAGAGAATTTTGCATTGCGAAGTACTAGGAGGTAATACTCGTAATACGTATAAAGGGTTGCCCCAAGGTGGGGTACTCTCCCCCCTATTATACACGTTATACACGCGGAATATTTTGAGAAAATTAAATTCTAGAATTGAGGCGTCACTCTTCGCAGATGACATAGGTCTATATCTTCGTACTGCGAACCTTGAGAAAGATCGAATTGTGATGGAAGAATCCATTGATCAACTCATTTATAACTTAAAAACATTAGGACTTAGCATTGCCCCTGAAAAAACAGTTGTACTTCGATTCAGTAAGAAAGGCTCACCACCGGAGAGTACTCGTATTAGAATAGGTCAGCTCCAAATTAATTCATCACCAACAGCAAAATTTCTAGGATTACACTTCGACCAAAAATTAAATTTTAAAATATTTATAAATGAGTATGATAGTGTATTTACATCGATTGAAACAGCAAGCAATTTGGGTATAGATATTAAATCCTCGCCTTCCCCTGACAAAGCCCTGGAGTCTCAGCTTGCAAACCAATATGAGGGTTGGAATGTTATTTATACAGATGGAAGTAAAGACCCAGACACAGATTTTGTAGGAGCTGCATGCCATTGTCCCGATTTAAACCTAAATACCTCCATCATACTTAATAACCATTGTTCAGTTTACACTGCGGAATGTATTGCGCTCAAGCTAGCCCTAGATATAGTCTCTGAACATAAGGAGCTTAACCACCTTATTCTTTCGGACTCCCTCAGTGTCATACAGAGTTTGGAATCCATAAGTTTCGATCCACACATCAACCCATATATATTAGAAATTAAAAAAATATACGACCATTTAATGAACGAAAATAGATCTCATACAGAAATAGTTTTTCGCTGGATTCCTGCACATGTGGGGGTTCGAGGTAATGAGGAGGTGGACTCCTTAGCAAAAAACGCAACGGAGGAAAGTGAAACACCTTTTTTACTTCCTGCCACAGACTTTAAAGCTCTATTCAAATCAGAAAGTTGGCTAGATACTACGAACACTATTCTAGGTGAATCTACAAGGGAGCAGAAACCAAAAGGGACATACTATTTTAGACATCTCTGGAATAGTAAAAAAAAAAACAACCGTGGTTCTGGGGACAAAAGCTCCCGAGAGATTTAATTGTCTGGGTCGATAGAGTGAGAGCCAATCACTATTATCTTAATGGATCATTGTACAGGAAAAATATTGTAAGTAGCCCGGAATGCACTTGCGGAGATAACTCTGAGACACAAGATATAGAACATGTAATTTGGTATTGTCCTCATTATAACAAAGGAAGGGAACAAATGATTAACAAATTGGTTGAATTACGATTCCCTAGACCATTTACCATAAATGCATTCCTGGTATCCAAGAATTTAAAATCATTAGAAATTATACATGAATTTGTTAAGAAAAATGGAATTAGAATTTAAAATAGCCGCACAGTTTTTGTAAATAACCCGAGAAGGGTTTGTACATAATAAAAAAAAAATATATATATATTTTGTCATCAGAATGTAGGGATTTCAATTTCTGAAGATAAAGTTTTGATGTTAATTATGACACGTGTCAAAAAATTGAGTGAGAATGAAGTAAATATTAATTCCCCGAGACATAAATCAAGAAATTTCTAGAGTTGCGAGATAATCTTGAAATAGTTATTGCGAATTTCCCTAACAAGTAAGATTTGTCTTCATTGATTCACTGAATCTTAAAAATATTGTAAATATTTTTATTTATGATTTAATGCAGTGTTTTACTTGAACACGTAGTATTTTTTGAATTTGCTGACGGGGTTACCAATTCCTGAACGATTGAGACTCTAAAGGTAGTAACGATTCCCACATTACCGGCCATCAATCAAACAGTTTGTCCAATAACGCGTGGATTTGTTGTCCAGAGTAATTGCATTGAGGAGATTAGCATTGTCGTTTTATTGTTTTTGATAGGATTTACGAGTCATTCAAGCACAATGTTATACAATTCTCCATTCACCTTTCGTCATCATTCATTAAATGCAATGAACCCGTATAACAACAGTCCATTTTGATACAACATTTTTTTCTATGGCCGGGAACGTTTTCCCCTCGGAGTGCTTGTGACAGCAGTGCATTTGGCGTTCGGATACGAGGATATCAGCCACTTTGTTATCAACTTATTATGATTTTGAAAAGTCTCAAGATGCAATATTAATTATTTGGAATTCAATTCATATAAATAAATGTTTTTAATTCTCAATTTTTTTAATGATGGCTTACAAAATTGACTAAATAAGAAATATAAGTCAATTTATTATCAATAAAACTAGACTGTCGATCGGAGCCTAAAATCAACTAGAATGTTCCTACTCATATGCACTTTCGTTTAGAATTTATTCAAGATTTCAATCTTGAAAAGATCAAGCTATGTTTCACGTTATGTAATGTCCAGAGTACTCCATTGCTAAAAAACACAAATAATGAATGAAAAATAGCCTTTGCTATATGAAGAGAAGAGCAATTCCTCAAGTATTGAACTTATTCAAACCCTGGTGAAACAGTCCGATTATTTCCGACTGGGTGATAAAAAATGAATCGGCGTTAATGATGTTTTCATCACGCTGTGACGAAAAATATTGTTCGTAACTCGTGAAAAAATGTTTTTTAGCACGTGGGATTATATCACTCGCCTTCGGCTCGTGATATAAAACCTCCCACTCGCCAAAAAACACTTTTTTGCACTCGTTACGAAATTATACTAATATGCATAATATGAGATCTATCAACCGAATTTAACGGGCAAAGACAGAAATATCATTGACGCCGATTCATTTTTTATCACCCAGTTGGAAATAATCGGACTGTTTTACCAGGGAACTGTATACAATTGATTCCAACAATTTCTTACTGAAAAAAAAAAATCCCGCCACAGACTACGTGACTCACGTCCGGTGGCGTCGCCACAGCCGTCCCCCCTGAACCTATCGCCAAGTCACCTTTCCCCCCAACATCCCTCATCCCTCAGTACCCCCCCTCAGTCTGTGAGGTTACTATTACAGAGAGGTGGTGCGGTGTGTTGTGAAGTCCTGAAATAGGTAGTTGTGTATATATAAATGGCGGCTGACGAAAAATGGTACTTTACAAAAGAACAATTAGCAAGTACACCATCGAGGCGAAACGGAATAGACGCTGATAAGGAGTTGAGTTACAGACAGCAGGCAGCTAATTTTATCCAGGACATGGGACAGAGGCTCGTCGTGTATCCTTTTTTTCGCATCACTGAAAATACCCCCCCCCCTCCGCCCTCCCCTCACCCACTCATTACACATTCGCCTCGTTTTATCCTATTTAAGGGTTTTATTTTGTTGTTTGGAAATTTTTGTGGGCGTTTAAGTGCCCTCGAGGGGCATTTTTTTCGGAATTGAACTGGTGTGGTGGACGAATCCAGTGCGTTGTAAACAGCATCGACTACTGTGGGCAGCTTCAGCATTTTCTCATTTCCTGGGACACTTTTGGGGGCTCAGGGGGCTTTGGGGGATTTTTCGTAGGGCAGGGGGCTTTTAGGGCTTTATTTTAAGAGCTTTTCTTGCGGGATGAGGCAATTGTTTGGGGCCCTGGGACAATGGCGATTCGGGTCACGTTTTTTGGACGGCATTGTTTGTCTGTGGCTTTGACAGGTCTACCAACTAACGTGAGGGACGAATTTTTTTTTTTTAATTTGGGTGAGAATTTTTGTTCAGCTAAGGGGATCTGAAGGGGATGAGGGATTTTTAGGCAGGAATTGATGAGGATGGGTAATCCTTTTTTTTCAGGAGAGAAATGTGAGATAATTGAAGAGTTGGTTTTTCCGTGTTTCATTTTCAGAAAATGTCACGAACCATTTCTCCTGTTGCATTTATACATTTATAAATCAATCAAGCCATTATTATTTTCCTTAATAAATAATTCCATATAAAACAGTACACAACTATGTATAAATACAGCAATAGTGTATATGCACCGGTTCTACGTGTTTCATTCGCTAGCGCAATTCCACAGAAATGCAATTGCAGCAGCATCCCTGTTTCTCGCTGCCAAAGTCGAGGAACAACCACGAAAATTGGAGCATGTTATCAAGGTTGCACACATGTGTCTTCACAAAGACCAGAATACACCAGACACCAAATCTGATGTAAGTTTAAAATGAGAAAAAACAATTTTAGAATTTCTTTATTTATCAATAAATAATTGAAAAACTTAACATTTCAGCATTATCTTGAGCAGGCCCAGGATTTGGTGTTTAACGAAAATGTCCTGCTTCAAACTCTGGGCTTCGACGTTGCCATTGATCATCCACATACTCATGTTGTCAGATGTTGTCAGTTAGTTAAAGGTATTTACGAAAAGCTTTCAATAATGAGTTTCATTAAATGTGCACGAGCTTTTAAATTTTCCCATGACGGTCGAAAAATTGTGTACTGAGTGTAAAAAAAAAATTTTTTTTTCCAGCGAGCAAGGACTTAGCCCAGACTTCATACTTCATGGCGTCAAACAGGTGGCTAATCAAAATTACCTACTCTATAAACTCGAAAACCCGTTATTTTCATAAAATATGAAACAAAATAATCAGCAGACACTGGTCTATGAGAGTTGTATGCTAGATTCGATCAATTCTATGTATGCACTGTCTCTTGAAAAAACCATGAACCATGCATATAAATTGAGGAATAATTGTCCTGCACTTGGATTCCAATTTTGGTATGAAAAATTCGTTGAATTTTCGACAACTCTTTGGAAATAATTCAAGTGCTGTCAATTGAATTCCGATTTTTTATGCTGAATGTTCGAATTGGGACGGTGGTCTGATGATATTTTAACCAAAAGAGTAAATAAAACTGGAGTCTCAGAGACCGAAAAAAAGTTTTATAAAAAATGAAAGGATTAATTCGTTCAGGTAAATGAATAATTTCTTAAACACAAACCCATGAAATACAACTTCTACTCCCTTATGTTTTTTCTTTCACGTAGTTTTGTGTTAGATTTTAGTTGGTTTTATACCTGTAAGTGATTTTCATGGTAGAGATAGATATTTATTGGATGAGAGTCATTGATTATTGATGAAAATTATTTTCTTCTGTTTGGGAATTTAGTTTACATCTTACGACCATGTGCCTGCAGTATAAACCGACAGTGGTTGCCTGTTTTTGCATCCATTTGGCCTGCAAGTGGTCAAATTGGGAGGTGAGTTCCATTGAATTTAACATCAGGCAGGTATCGATGGTTCTAAAAATTGTGAAAAAAATAAAGCAACCAAGATCATTTAAATCCAGAATTATTATCTCAATTATTTACACAAATTCCATTTCTCAAAAGCCATTAAGAACTCTTGGAAATAAAAATTTCTTAATCCCCAGATACCCCAGAGTAACGAAGGAAAGCACTGGTTTTGGTATGTCGACCGCACCGTAACCTCCGAACTCCTGCAACAACTAACCGTCGAGTTTCTCCACATCTTTGACAGATGCCCCTCTCGTCTTAAGAAGAAGATAATGTCAATGTCGGAGAAGCAGAGTCCCACAATGCATCACCCAAGTCTCCCGAACTCACCCTTCGACGTGGAGCCCCGCAAAGTCAACTCCCCCGCCCCAGACGGAGGTCCAACCTTCCAATCAGCTCGTCCCTTTCCACAGGAGAAGGATGACACAAAGCCCTCGACGTCTCGCCCCCAGCTCGACCGAGAGTACCGCGAGAAAAAGGAACGTGAACGTCTGGAACGAGAAAAACTCGGCAACTCACTGGTGCCCCACGATCCCCAGAAGCACCATCACCAACATCACCACAAGCCACCCCAGAACCTCCTCCCAAAGCATCCTCAGCCCGCAAAACCTCTCCACCACAATCATCACCATAGGCCAGACCCTAAACTCCCTCTACCCCCTCAACGTCACTCCCAATCTCGTCAGCGACCCCCAGCTCTCCCCCATACCTCCCAAAATCCCCCCCCTCCAACCACTCCTCAACCCCAATACCAGAAGGATTCAAATCTGGTGGTGAATCCTCCAGACCACCAGGATCTGGAAAAATCCCAGAACAATCATCTCCATCGTCGCTACAACGATCCTCGCCACAAGCTTCTTGAACACAGAAAAGAGGAGCCAAAGCCCTATAGTTCACAAATTCGTCAACGAAAGCCAGACTCCCTGGAGCAGAGATCGGAGGAAGTGAGGAAGCTGATCGAGAAGCCCCTGCCTCCCCTGAAACCCAGACAGGAACTCACAAAGGAGGATTACATAGCTACGATGATGAAACAGTCCCATCATCCCTCAAAATATCAGGATAAACCACTTGTTCATAATTCTGGACGAAATATTCAGCCCCACGAGTTTCACAAGACACCTGGAGCAGTAGCTCCCTTAAAACCCCAAGTGAACCCGACAAACCTGCAGAATCCTCAGAAGGACCAGAAGAACGGTGAGTAATAAATCATCCACTTGAGCATTGTTATAAATCGGAGAAAAGCCATTAATCCAATTAATCAAAATTTTTGTCCTCAAAAAATATGTTTGTACAATGAAAAAAAAAACGTTGAAACAAAAAAAAATTCTACAGGTATCGAGGAGGCAAAACCTGGCGAGAAGCGATTGAAACCAGAGGAAGTTGTCCCCAAACACAAGTCTCTGTTCAGTCCTGAGAAGGTACCACGAGAGAACGTCTCCAGGTCGAAACCCCCTAAGCAGAAAACTCCACCGATGGTTGTTCCAGTGAAGGCTATTAAACAGGAGAGAATCATTCCTGAGGGTCATTTCGAACTCCCTGGGAGCTTTCCCAGCCCTCCTCAGACACTAAACCCTCAGAAGAGACCAGAGGATCGAGTGCAGCCAGAGGATCCTGGTAATTTTGACCTCGTAAAGATGTTTGGAAAGCTCCCAGAGCCCCTCCAGTCTCTGGGTTCGACCAATGGAAAAGGTGACCTCAAACAGGTGAAATCCTTCGACACTGATCATCACATCCTGACGAATGGAATGGACTTGGAAACTAAAACAGATCTCGATCAGTTGATCCTGGACAGACTGGATTCAGGATTAAAAACTGAGTACTTGAGTCCTATGAAGTCAGCTCAAGGTATCTCAGCACTTCTCCAAGAGCCCCTGGCACCAATGCCTTCATTACTCCAGTCATCGGACTCTGGTACATTCAGTCAACCTCTCAGCCAGAGCCAGTACTCAGAATCCCTCCAGAATTCAGTGCCTGAGCAAGTGAAAGAGGAAATTTACACGTCAACTGTCGATATATCCGCTCTATCAGGACCTGTACAGCCTGCACTTCCTGATGTGACAGGTGTCCCCCCCCAAAATCCTCAACAGTCAGAGAAAAAATCAGAGCATCATAAGAGTGAGAAAAAGAAGAAGAAGGATAAGCACAAGCATAAGGACAAGGACAGGCATAAACACAAGCATAAAGAGAAGGACAAGGAGAAGAAAGACAAGGAGAAGAAGGACAAGGAGAAGACCAAGGTGCTGGAGGAGAACAACTCCACTATTCCCATCAAGATCACAATACCTAAGGACAAGTTGAATCTGTCTAATGATAATTCTTCCCAGGAGAGGAAGAGTCCTAGTGCAACAAAGCTAACTCTCAAAATACCGAAGGAAAGATTACAGCCAGGAACTACTGTTCAGACTGTTGCTAAGGATGCTCAGGGCTCCTTGAAGATTAAAATCAGAACTTCGGGGGCAGGGGTAGAGTTTCCTGAGTCAAGGAAGAGGGAGAGGGAGAGGGAATCAGGGGGGGATCCTGGTCCTGCCAGCAAGAAGAGTGCTGCTGGACAACAGAGGACGACTGAGAGACAGAATGGGAGGCATTACGGAACTACAAGCAATAAGGTAAGGGGGAGGGGCTTTGGCTTTGGAAGGGCTATGGGGTATTATCAGGGGATGGAGAGTGATGGATTCAGGGGACAAATGATGGGACAGGGATTTTTGAGGGGGGGAGGACAACAGGAGTACTTTTATCCGTATCCACCACCTAATATGTATCCTGGTGGTTACTTCTGTGATCCTGGGCTATTTTATGGGGGTTTTCAACAGGGATTCTCCATGTTTCCTGGGGTGGTTATGGCTGATGGGGGGGTGGTTGATACTTCTGTACCTCCACCGAGTTTTGTCGCGAGGGAGGAACAAATGCCTCCGCTGCCCGAGGGACCACATCCCAATGAGGTGCATGTGCCACCTCCACCTCCTCCGGAGTGAGGAAAAGTGGTTACTTGGAGAAAATGGCAAAATCTCTTAAACCCCCATTGGGAATAATTTCTATTCTAGAGTATACGTTTGGCAATATCGAATTTCACTTAAATAGTTTAAATACTCTTTATTTTCCTCTGATAATTTTCTGAAAAAAAAAATCGCATCTGAATTGTGAATGGTAGAAATGGAAATCAAGTAGAAAAGCATGGCATAGTACTACTTTATAGTTTCTTTACTCAATTTTTCTGTTTTATTTTTATTTCCTTATTCGTAGAAAATTTATTCTGTATTTACTTATTGATTATTGAACACTGAGTAGACTCTTCCTCATATGCTCTCCAATCATGCAAAGAACAATGGGTTGAGAAGATTTGTGAAAATAATCCCTCCATCAAAGCACGAAATAATTCAAATGTTTTTTTTCCTGTTTTATAAGTGAAAAGTAATTAATGAGGCGTTACCTTTGCTGGCAAAGGACTCTTGGGGCCAAAAGGACGCCAATAAATAATTAGAATAATAATAAAATGTGTGTACATAATTACTCAATGTATATGCTGACTCCTCAAAACACAAAAAAATGAGCAAATTTTCAGTTGTAGAAGGAAATACTGTTGTCTATTATATATATCAATGTTTTGATTTTGTTACGATTTTTAATGGATACCTGGTAGATAGATTGAGTCAGGGACGAGACGAGGGGGAAAATATTGCCCTTTATTTCTTCTTATTGTAGGGAGAATTGCCCTCAGATTTAGGGATTTTTATTAAGAAAAATTTGACTTACCCTTTTGGAAACATTAAACTCACTTTTTTTTTCTCTCTCTCTCTCTCTCTCTCTCGAATATTTTATAGTATTTTTGTTTATTCAGTTTGCAATTTACTCACGTAATTTTGTTATTTTTTGATAGTTTTTTCCATTGAATGTGGAGCAAAATCATTGCTGAATTTTTATTGAATCGAATTGAGAATTGAAGATAATTATAATTGAAGAAATAATAGGAGAAACAGCAAGGGCAAAAGTGTTATCGCTTAGTTGTATTTTATTAATTAATTATAAAAGAAGACGCGGCATTTTTAACTGGAATTATTCGATTTAAGAAGATACAACCCAATTGCCATTCAGTTTTCAGTTCATCCGATAGATTCACTGTTTTATACGACATACGAATCATGTAATCGAGATTTTTTGTGTTTTTTTTGTCTCAAGTAATTGAACATGATCATCAATCGATGAATTTAGTTACTTGTGCAAATGTATGAATTTGTGAAATCCGAATTTTCGTTATGTTGAAGAAACTCGCAGACTCTTCTTCTAAAAAACAATATTTCAGGGACGAAGTGGTGAAGCTAGTCGATTCAAGTCAATTCGAGAATTAGTTTTTGCTTTTCTCTTTCCGTGCTTTGCAAAAAAAACGCATAGATATTGCAATATTCAGGGGAGATTGATACAGAATTTTTTGTTTTTTTTTTTAGCAGAGTTAAATTATATTAATGGTCAAATGTTTTCATCCTTGGCGCAAAGTTTTTTCCACGTTTCAGTAGTGTTTTTCACTCTTGAAGCCTCTCAATGTTTTGGACTAAGGGTCAAGTGTTTGGAAGGATCAAAAACCCTCAATTGAAACGAAAAAATTTAGAATTTTGCAAATATAAAAATCATTTTCACCTCTTCACAACTGAAGGAAAAAAAAAACTTGCTCAATAAATATTTTTCAACAGTAAAACGAAAATTCGTTTTGAATTCAAATAAATTCGCCTGTCAAAAACATTAGTCCTAAGGCATTATAAATTAGCTAAACAATTTCGTCAAATCGTAATGAAGACGCAATCAATCGAATCCAGTGTTTGGGTGTTTTCTAAGGACAAAATAATTGCTAAGGTGAATGCATTAAACGAGAGTGAGTGAGGGAGTGCATGAAAGTTTTATAACAATAATCTCTGTTTTCTGGAGCTACCGAATGCAACTCGACAATTGTTGTAATTAACTCAAGGATTGAAAATAGAAGAAAATTTACATTACCTTTAATTTCTCTCTGTATGAATTAATTGTATCCAGTGTGTTCTATTCTGTTCTGTTCTGTCTGTTCTGTTTTTAAATATGAAGACATCCGCAGAGATTCTCTAAAAACAATAGTGGACCACAAAAATGAAATAAAAATTTTAATAAAAAGACGAATAAACTCAATTGTACGATAAAGAAAGAAAAAAAACCATAAATTTACCTTAGTAGTTATTTTGTCTCAATTTATTTTCAAATGTGAACACCTATGCACATCCGCATTTTGTTTACTAACAGTTAAAAAAAAACATCTGAAAATGTGAAAGATCGCCTCATTAATTCATAAAAAATATTGCAATGGTCATTTGATCGCTGGGTGGAGGGTTCATTGCACGTTGAGTTCATTATTTGGTGCATGTGCAACTGAATTTTTATGCTCTTTCATTATTGTTTTCTCAGCTATCATTATCATTCGCAGGAACCGATACAGATGTGGGAAAATTTTTTGTGATTTAATGTTGCAGGAGAAGCACACGAGAGAACACAAGAGTTCGAGTAAGTTGTCACAGTCCCAGCAATCACACACTACGTAGTATCGAGACGAGGAGGGACTACTTAACCCCTAGGGTTTTTCCGTTTTTTATTGTTTAGAGAGGAAAATTAAAACTATTCCTTTTTTACAGTTGAGAAAGGACGTGTTGGGAGTGGGGAGTGAGTGGTGTTTATAGGTTTTCTTGAGTATTTAGGGGAGAAAAAACGGTTTTCAATGCTGAAAGCTTGTTTTTTTGTTTTTAGTTGTGGGTCGGAATGAAAAAAAAACTACTAAAATGCGGCTAGAACTTTGAATCATAAATTCTCAGTCAAAAATGAATGGGAAAATTTGAAAGATACTTAGGAAATTTGTTCATTTTCTAAAAACCGCATAAAGTGAGATGAGGGTGACCCGAAGAGAATAAAAAAGAGGATTATTTATTCTCTTCAGATCACCGTCAAATCGTTTCGTCGAGTTATTGAAAAAGAATAAAATTTTCAAGTTATTATCGTTCACGTTTCTTTTCATCATTTCAGTAGATTTTCTTACTTCCAAAGACTGTTAACCGGGCAAATAACCCTCAACTAAAAAAAAAACTATCCTCTAATATGAAATGAAAATTGTATGAAAACAGATCTCAAACAAAGCAAAATGGTTCGTGAAATTTTGAATAAAAGCCAAAAGTAGCTCCACTCCTTCATTCATAAAATTATCCTGCACTAGAGCTCAACTTCTTAACTCCGCGTTCTCTCATCCCCAAGGCAAGAGATAATAATGTATACGCATCTTTCCATTCAGTACTGGAGTGTTAAAAATTCATTTTTTTTTTTTCTGAATATCCTAAGATATTTCGAAAAAAACTGATTCGTCACAAAATGAAACAGATCTTTTCCTTGTTTCATCACTTCATTGCAATTCGTATCGAAGGATTAAATAAACTCAGAACACGTTAGTTCAGAGGAATCTGTGTACAACTCCATTGGGACACACGAGAGTGAGACGATAGGTCAAAGTTATTCAAATAATTTATTTATCCATTCGTAAATTATCCTAATTTCATTAATTGAATCGTAATTTTTTCCATGTAAATAGTTTGAAAATCACTTTCTTTGAATCTTCAACAGTAATCTGCATTTCTCTCCCTGCCCCCCCCCCCCCCCCCCCCCCCCCCCCCCCCCCCCCCCCCCCCCCCCCCCCCCCCCCCCCCCCCCCCCCCCCCCCCCCCCCCCCCCCCCCCNAAAGGACAAAAAACTGAATAGTTTAAAAACGAAATACGACTATTATCTGACTGTACATAAAATTATTTTGTATGCCAAAATAAACCAAATGGATGACGGAAAATGGAATGATACAATGAAAAATATGAGACTACTTTCGTTCGAAAGGTAAATAATTGCTTTGATCCGGCGGAAGCAAATGAAAAGAAAGTTGCATTTTTTATTTCAGTTGAAAAATTAAAGCTGAAGGTGCTACGAGATTTAGTTTATTTTAGGGTGAAATTTTTCATTTTGAAGGGAATAATAAAGTGGCTCAGAGAAATTCAGACATCATTTTTTGTCTTTCAGTAATTGGTAGTTATCTCGGTCAACTGATTTTGACTGTGAGTTTGTGGCGCATTTTTTTTACAAATTTATCCCTGAATTTCTAAAAATTGCTCTTGAGCACTTCAAGAAAATCAACTTTCTTGTTCCATTCAACCCTCCATTATTCATCTGGAATTTCCAAATGCATATCGAGAAGCGCCAAGTGAAGCAACAAACTGTCGAATTTGTTTATAGCTTCCGAAGTTACGCATTTACGTAGAAAAAAAAATTTACGAATATGTTCTAAGACTAAAATAGTAATCGTAAAATGAATAACTATTAAACATAAACTACAATCATTGTTACACTAATTAATCATGTTGAATTGGTGGAGTGATTAAAAGCCACTTTTGTAATAAAACAAAAAAAGAAAAAACAAACGAAAAAAAAATTTATTTTCTCTTGCTCGTGCACTCTCACGTCCCCAGAATAATTTTATTCCTTTTAGTCGAAGCAAATAAATAATTCAATTGATAATTTATTAGCAAGAGAAAACGAGCGAATAAATTCACTAGTTGATTAATCGAGTCTTGAGAAGATAATTGATAATTGTCGTGAAGAATTCACTGATTTTGGACTGCCTTTACAACTGATTAAAGTTGATCGATACCATGAATCTAATGATTGCAATTTATTATTATAGAATTAATTAAGTCCGATCACGTCATCCGTCGTTAATTTCCTAAGGTAATGCATCAACTAAAATAAAGATTGAGGTATGCAGAGAGAATAAAGATTTGTTGATAAAACAAAAATCGATTTCTTGGTTTTTTTTTTAAATCTGAATTTTATTGTGGAGAAAAATAAGGTATTACAGGTGTGGCTAATTACGCAATACTACTGGCATTGGATGCAATTCTTGGCCACAGATCTGCACATTCCTTAGCAACTGGTCCAGTGATGGCTGAGCCCTTCATTTCCCCTTTATTGTTGACAATAACACCTGCGTTATCCTCGAAGTAGATGAAAACACCGTCCTTCCTGCGGAAGGGCTTGCGCTGGCGGATAACTACTGCTGGCATAACTGTGAACAGACAAATGATCAGGGTTAATTCGGTAATTTTCCCCTGTTACATTTTGTGGGGAATTTTATAAGCAAAATTGTGGAGATAATTGGATAATTATCAAGTGGCACAAATGTTCTAAAGTGGAATATAAAATGTCAACTTTTAAATAATATACCTAATTATTTTCGCAATGAGTGACTCACCCTTTTTCCTGAGCTCAGGCTTTCCCTTCTTGACAGTAGCAACAATCATGTCACCTGATCCAGCAGCAGGGAGACGATTCAGTCGTCCCTTGATACCCTGAACAGCAATAACATAGAGGTTCTTGGCACCTGGAATGAAATTGTTCTTTAGTTGCTCTGTTTGAATATATCATAGAACGAGGCAAAACAAATTTAAAGAGATTCCCATCGGCTACTTATTTCAAATAGTATTTTTGTGGATTAAACCACTACAATACTCTTCTATTCCTCCCCTCGATAACTTAAAATGGGAAAACTGAGGTTATCAATCACAATCATTCCCGCAAGTCTCCAAAAGCTCACCAGTGTTGTCAGCGCAATTGATAACAGCACCCACAGGAAGACCCAGGGATATTCTGAACTTGGCTCCAGCTGATCCACCACGTCCTAATCATCAGATTAATAAAAAGAGAATTTCATGAATCAATCGATCTTGTATACTGTCCCACCATTGATGTCTCATGGCAGGAGGAAAATTTTTGCCCCTCAAAAATCCCATTATTCTAAATCATAAGAAAAAACGTTTGACTCTAACATATCAACAACCTCTTCCCTTTTAATCACATAATGTTAATTAAACTTGATCGACTATTTTCACTCGGATTTTCATGGATTTTCACAGATGTCAAAACAACTAACCTCTCTTCGACATTTTGGCGTTTTTTTTTAAGAGCAAGAACTCTGAGTCTATTGCGCACTTAGCTCGATCTGCTCACCTGTGTGCGCAACTCCGCCATTTTGTTGTGAATGTGAAGAGGGAAATTCAAATCAAAATTCAAGTGTCATTATTTATTCAATATTTTTTATCAAGTTATTGAATTTAGAAAGAAAAATTGACATGTTACTACAAGAGACTTTAGATAAAATAATGAAGGATAATGAATCGTCACTCCAAGATAAGATTCTAGCGGCTCTAGATGGTGACCTAGAGCAGCACAAGGTTATGTATTTGTCCAAAACATAATGTTATTAATTAAAAATTGACGAATAATGATTTTTTCTATCATTTGGACAGAACAATTTACTGAAACGAAGTGAAAAAAACTGGATAATTGGCGAAAATAATGCCAATACAAAACTAGGTAAGTAGGAAATTGATTTATCGATTGAGGGCGGAACGGTGGGAAGTCGGGAAGAGTGGACATTCGGCGGTTTACTTTATTAGTCCTTCGTGCACGCATTTAGCCTCAGATATCAATTCTTCCGGATAAAAACACATGTATAAAAGTTTGTTATTACTTTACAAGAGAGAAATTTAGCGATATTTTTTGGGATTGATGAGATAATATGCCGGAACCGTTGTTGACAGAGGTCATGGAGTTGGAGCTGGGAGGTAATAAAGAATGTACAATTATTATTAGATACTTGGAGGGAAATATTTGGGTTGAGACAATTTATTTATGTTGTCCAAGATAGGATAGAAATCATAAAATGAAATTTTTGACAATATCTTGGAATGAAAGGGAGATATCGAAATTTTTATTCCAACTTTTTTTGTAGTCAGTAATTAATAATAATTATAAAAAAATGCTCGACATGAATTTTTTACAAAAATAGAATTTATTCATATAGTTATTTAAGTTGGAATTTGCTATTCGAATTGGTTTTTCATAGCGTACGTAGAGACTAACATAGATTGACTCTTTCAGCCCAGGAGCCATGGCCCCAGCCCATAAAACTGTACCAGCCCTACGAAGTCGAGCAAATTCTCCTCCCAGACAATGCCAACTGTCTGGCAGTCCAGGCATTCCTCCACATGTTGAACCTAGAGTACCAAATAGAGCCCAGAAAAAACGCTGAGTACATGTCCCCCTCGGGTCGAGTGCCTTTCATCCAGTGTGGAGCGTTTGTTGTCTCTGACTTTGATAATATAGTATCATTCGTGGGGAACAAAGGGGCCAGGCTCTCCCAGGACTTGGATGACACTGAAAAAACAGACATGAGGGCTTACATATCACTCGTTAATAATGGTCTTGCTAATGCTGAGCAGTACATATGCTGGGTGGACCCAGCAACTCTCGAGGATGTCACTAAACCTAGGCATGGCTCGGTGTATCCCTGGCCTTTAAATCATATTCTCAACTGGCAAAAACAGAGACAAATTACGAAAAAATTAAAGGTCCTGGGCTTATACAATAAAAGTCTTGAGGAAATTTATCAGGATGTGAAAATGTGCTGTACTGCATTATCTGAGAGACTCGATGGGAAGCCCTATTTTTATGGAAACAAGTGAGAGAGTTTTTTTTTTTCATTTTTAAATACACTGGTGAGGGGATAAAACAGAATCTGTTCAGAATCTAAGGAAGGCGACTTGTTATTTAGACCTTATTTTTCTCTATAAAAAAGGTCGGAGATCAATCCGTTGAATGTTAAATTCAGTTATTCTGTTTTATCAATGCACAACATGTTGTATTTTTTTCGATGGATATTTATGAGACATTTGTTTTCAAGCCCATGTGAGCTAGATGCTCTTGTTTACGGCCACATTCATGCAATCCTGAGATCCCAGGCTGTTCCATCCCTCCAGGGTCTCGTTAGAGTCATCAGGGGTTACCCTGAACTCATTGATCACTGCAAACGTCTCGAGTCGGATTTTTTCAACGGGGAACAGACGGTTGGGGAGGAGATTGAAATTGTTGATGAAGAGGACGCACTCTGGGATATTTCCGACTCTATTGAGATCCTTCCTCCATTGTCCAATAGCTCCTCTATCCAATAAAATTCTTCATCATTCAGTTCTTCATTTTATTCCATATATATATTCATTTCACATATTTGGATATCTTATTTTTTTTATACATCATGAAATATGGGAAAAAGAAATATGACAAAAAATTAAATCTATTCCAGAGGACCTAAAGAACTTGATGCTCTAGTATTTGGTCATCTCTTTACAATTTTAACAACACCACTCCCAGCAAAGAGGCTGGCTGAGATTGTCAAGGAGTTTCCAGATCTGGTTGATCTTTGTAAAAGAATCGAGAAGAGGTATTTCCAACGTAACGAGGATTAGGAGAGGCTCGATTGCTCGAGGTTCAGATACATCGAGATCAGATACATGGACATTGATAGATCAAAATTTTTATGCCTAGCGAATAACAAAAATCAATTCGACTCGACCGGACGGGTCTTTTGTTCAATCATGTGACGTGGAAAAATTTTTCGTCCATCTGTTAATTTCATTTTTTATGTTACTTCGGGTCTGAGGGTAATCTGAAACTCGTGCAATTGAGTGATTAATAATTGAATTAATGTTGAAAATTGTAGAAAAATATTAAATATATAAATAATTGTTTAAAAAACGAAAAATCATGGTTTCAGCTTTTTTTCCTTACGTACTATTGAGAACGAGGCTACTAACAGGACAAATCGAGAGCGAGTGCGTAGTGAGGACTGCTTGGACAGTTTGATTGACAATCATTGTGCTAGAGTTAATAGAAAACAAAAATCGGGATTTTTTTACTTTCCTGTTCTGTGATTGATAATTTTCAATCGTTCATTATTTATTTATTTATTTATTTTTACAAAATTTTTTTGTGCATGCATCATGCATTTGAAATTATAATTGGATTGTCAAGTGGTAAATTCATGAGTAAATTGGGAATTTTCGTTAATTTCTTACTAATCGCAGGGATGAATGAGTTTAGAGGAAAAAAATCTAGAAATAATGTCGTACATTTTCCTCTAGAATGACTCGTCATCGAGATTATTCGATATTTAACTCAAGGGTTGGTAAAAAATGTCAGTTTTGCTGCATTTTATCAGTTCATTACACCAAATTATCAATCCAATTACAAAGTGTAATTGCAAGTTGAAGAGTGAATTTTGTCATCGAATGAATGACGTGTGAACGTAAAAAAAATCAGAAATTTGGAAGGGTCAATTGGATCACGAATAGAACTAAAAAAAACTGCCCTTTGTATTTTTTTTTACATTTCATATATGTATTTATTATGATAGATTTCTAGGTACATACTGTGTAATGAATATCGACTCAACTAATAATTATTCAGTGAAAAATTAAAGTTTGTGCGATAAAACCAATTAAAAAAACTAATTGTAAGACTGATACAATAATATTTGTAAAAACATCAACATGTTCTGCCTTTGATATTCTCCATGGGATTTTAAATTGAAAGTAATCACATTTCTTTTGAAATACTCAACTGTACGAGTAATGTAACAATTCATTCATACCTTACGTTTAACAATAGTGATTAAATCATCATCTTGAGATACAATAATTCATGTGTTTTGTTTTATATATTCATTTATTTTCCTTTGATGGCCGTTTACCAGACTGAGATAAGAAGAATTGTCAAAATTTCTTGAAAATTATTTCAATCTGAAACGATAAATTATTTATTATGCTCATTGATTGTCACAATGGAAAATCATTCATTCAAAATTGAGGAGTACGACTGCACAAATTTACTGAACTTAATCATTAATAGTACATTAGAGTACAAGGGCACAAATTTCGTTTTCAACGAATGTGTAATTTACAGGCCGAGCCGAAGGCGAGATCTGTACACACATTCGTTGAAAACGAAATTTATTACCGAGTGCTCTATAATATTTTATGTCAAGTCGTGCAGAAGTCGAGTTTTGAGCAAGCTGCGCGAAGCGCAGCGTGCGATAAACTCGACTTATTGCACGGTGCGACATAAATAAAATAATTGAAAAAAAAAAACATGTCAATAATTCTTATCTCAGTTTAGTCCCCAGGGAAGCAGCTATATGGTTCAATTTGTTTACCTATTTCTTATGATTAATCTATGCATTAAAGTCATTTATTTATTTTCATCTCAGACAAATATAATCCAAGTAGGAAAATAATAATGAGTGGCGGAAGAATAAAATTATCAAGAGAGAAAATGGAGCAGAGATGAATTGAAATCTGCAGTGTGTAAATAATTGCACGGAAAATATCATCATACAAAGTTCACTGGACTCCTCCTGTCTACAAAAAAACTATAAAAAAATATTTCTACAAAATATTGTTCGTGAAGATTTCTAACGATTTTTCCATTAATTATGTCCGAAGCAAGAAATAAAAATAAAAAATAGGGACTTGAAGATGTCGGCCAGCCGTTCTCAAATTTGTCTAAAACGCCTCTACAAGATTCTTCAATTAATTTTGTTCAATTCAGCCCAATTATATCAATTATTATTCCTAAGTATACACTGATTTTTTTATTTATCAATTCTATACTTACTATTGCATGATTTTTGTTTCCCTCTTCAGGAATATAAATTGAATTTTCAATTTTATTTAAAAATGTTTCTTCATGTCTCTCAGATATGAAGAAAAATTTGTATCGTAAATGAGACTATATTATTTGTTTCATTCTCTCGCTCTTGTTGAAAGGTGTTTGCTTCTTTTTCATATATGAGATTTTGGTGGGTTTTCGTGTTAAACAATGACTAAAGAATTGTTTTATATTAGTCCATTGATAAAAGGAAAATTTGGATTACTGTGAGATTTCTTAATAAAATTAACGATTCAGTGGTGAAATGTGGATTAAAAACACTTGATTTTTCACATTTTCTTGTCTTGAATGCTAAATCATCTAGGTGAGAAAGTGTCAGGAGGGATTTTCGTCGTAAATTTCATGGGTTTTTACTTCATTCAGATTTTTCCATCACTCTTTTGCCAATTTTTTTTCGCATTTTAATAATTTTTTTTCTTGCCAAGACCTCTTAAACACGTACGAAAAAATCTCATAGAGAAACCCAGCAACTTCATAACAGTATCGTCCAATAGATTTTTCCATCAAATTCTTTAGGTTATCCGACAAAATTTCTATGCGTGATGACTTCCCCAATCATCCCTTCCCAACGAAAACTTTAACACAGCCCCCTGAACCCATGTTCAATGCCAAGGAACCTCCAAAAATTTGTGCTCCACCCCGATATGTAGAGACTACCCAACCCCCTTAAAAAAATTAATCAGGTGGAAGAAAGCTGAACAATCGAAACTGTTCCCTAATATGCGGTCTAACATCCCCACCCCAGTGTACTAAATTCTCTAAAAATGGTAGAAGCTTCATCAACTCGTTATCATTTCTATCAGCAAACCAGCTCTCAATGGGAATTCCATTCTCCAATTGATATCCAAAAGCCTGGGGACTGTTATCAATGATAACAGTCTTCGATAGATCCCTCCCAAGAATGGAGAGATCCTTGATGTAATTCCCATTGACACAGACACAGTGTTCCCTGAAAAGCCTGTACTTGATGAGTTTCCTCGTGGGATCGAGAAGATTCATCAGTTTGTTGGCATAAACCCTCTTGCTAGCAGTGAACAGGATGACCTCGTACAGTCCAGCAACATGTTCTAAAAATTCCCGAAAAAAGGGTCTTGTCCTCACGAAGACAGTGTACGTGACATCCTGAAAGATAACAGGAAATCTGAAGGCAGCATCCGAAAGCTCCTGAAGGCTGCAATGAACAAGAGTCTCATCAAGATCCAAAACAAGACTGAACTCCGGACTCGATCGAGTCTTTAGGGGCAATGCTGGACACCTGGCCCTCATGGCTGGAGTCAACGGTGGCAGATGCTTGATGAATACATAGGGATCAAAGGGTAGCCAGTCGTCCTGGACCTGGGTGACCATCTCACACGACTCGACAATCTCCTCTGAGCCCACGTCCATGTACTTGATTTCCTGATACTCCAATTCCTGATATTCCTGGTATTTATCCTCCAAATTGCCATTGTCATCGGAATTTTCCAACTCGAGTGTCGATGTCAGATTGTTTGACTTGTTGTCGTAGTACTTTTGGCTGGTTGAGGAAGAGCTGCATGACATGAAGTTGTTGTAGTAGTCGCTGTCTGTCTGTTCAGTTGTGCAGATTGTCGAGTAATGGAGGGAGAGAATATCGACCACTGCTAGAACAGAGTTCTGGGGAGAATTTTCAGTGTCCTCGATGGAGTCCTCTTGGAGGAGAGTTGATAGGTCCTGAGTGATCAGATCGGTGATTTGTTTGGACGAGTTCTGGGGCTCAGGGGATGGAATTTTTGGGACATTTGGCTCGTTCTGATTGGGGAAGAGGGTCCAGTTTTCTTTGGATTCTTCCGAGTTCTTGGGGGGATCCTTGGGCTCCTGGGGACGACGGGCTGGTGTCGACGTTACCATCGAGCGTTTTATCGGCTTCCGGAGGCGCGGACCTCGACGTGTCGGAGGAGCTTTCGAGAAGTGGAGAACATTTTCCTTGCAGGCTTCCTTCAGCAGGGACGGGGGACGACGACGCCAACGTGAGAGACGGTTGCAACGACTCGATGTAGTTGCTGCGACTTTTCGGACTCCTGGGGTCTGCAGACGAGGGAGCTTTGAGATTGAGGTGATGCGACCACGGAGACGTCTTCCCACATGCTCACTTCGCAACCACATTGCGGCAACTATCACTGCTGGAAATTTATTATATGTATATATTTTTTTAAAAATATTTTCGCTTGCATGGGGGATTAAACCGGCTAAAATGGACATTTGGGAAATTTTTTCAAATCGATTCAGCTCAGGCTGGGCTCATTACAAAGAGAGGAATAAGCCAAAGGGAAAAAACTACTCCATTACATCAGTAATTGTTGAATAAAGTTTCAAAATAATGAACCCGAACCAACTATTTCAAATGATATTCCTTCATTTTTAACTATCCAAAATATTGTTGTAATCTTCATGAGCAAATCCGAGTAAATAAATACGATAATCTCCCCGAAACAACTATTTCAAACAATATCAAAATTCATTTCCAAAAAATCTCTTCATCCCCTCTCGCTTCCTCGGCGCGTTCTTCCTGGCGCCGGTAACCGTCCCCTCCTCGCAGAGTCCATTATCGATTTGGCGTGGGTGGTCGACCCACTCTCAGAGTTCTCCATTCCAAAACTCCATTTGCCCTCCAAAAAACTGGGGCCCTCCCCCCAAAAGATATTTCATCGATCGATTCTACCCAGCGGGGATCAATGACAATTATTAATTGAATTGAAACAAAAAATGAAGCGTTTGAAAGTGGTGTCGCGACGACACCAACCGGCGGTTGGTCGGAGGGGCGAGGGGAGCGGTAAAAAAATTCAGACGCAGACGAAAAATCGCGCGAAAACCAATGGACCAAAGCCCACAATCATCGGTATAATCAAATGTATTCAAGGACTTACCATTTTTTCATGAGCCTATCAACACGATAAAACCATTTTCAATCACCACTCGCCAATTATTTTACGATTATTGTTGACAAAATAACGCCGTTGATACGCTTACGCTTTTTCCATCCCCCACCCGACCCACCAAACTAAACAAATATGGCGGCCGATGAAATGAGAAGAGTTCGCGGGGGAAGGGAGGACGCTGGCTGGCTGGCAAATCACTACTGTAGACTAATCAAGTACTAAACAACTACATCAAACCTTTATGAATAATGAATAATTAATTTATTATTTCGAAATTTCATAATGTTTTCCTCTGTTTTTCAAATTAATTGTTTATAGTTTTGTTTTTTTATACTTGGATATTTGATTGGAGAAGATAGTGCTTCCGGTAAAAATTGGCGGCGATTTCAAAAACGGGAATATGTTTTTGCAGACTATTTTAATAATCATTGCGTCTATTTTGTTTCCCCTGCCTTGTGTTATGGGAGAAAATGATGATTTTAGTATTGATTTCCTCTCGTTTTTAATATTTTTTTTTCTTAAAAGAGTTATTTCTATTTTGTTTTGAAATCTTGGAATTGGAGTTATGGAGTCTTCGTTTGTCGTCAACAGCTGATATATATAACGTGGAGAATCACCGCTGAGGAATATTGCAAACTTGAAATTCTAGAAAAGAGGATTGGATATTAATTGGCTGTCGTGGTTATTGTTAATGGTTCACTTTTCATGATGAATGACAAATTTGGGAGGCACTCGGTCGTATTTCAGGTGAGTCTATCAATATGTTTATTGAAAATGCCATTGCGAGGTTAGGAAATATTTTCAAAAATTAAGGACATCTGATTTTTCTTCTCCTTCTATTCAGTTTTTCTGTGTGATTTAAGGATGTTCGACACCCTTTTAGCCAAAATTGACGTTGTTTTCATTTTTCTGGCAAATTATCGATGGAAGTGACGTGAAAAAATATAACGATTTTGTGGTTTGTCATTCTTTAATGGCTCACGAAGTTGCGTAGTGGTGCGATAATTTTCATGCGTTTTTTCTACAGTTTTGTGATTCTTTTTAAAAGTTTAAAGAAAACGCAGGAAAATGTTCGCACCACCTTAAAATTTCGTCAGTCATTAAATAATGACAAAACGCAAAAACGTTATATTTTTTCACGTCAATTCCATCACAAGTTTGCCAGAAAAATTTAAAAAAACGTGAATTTTGGCAGAAAGGGTGTAGAACATCCTTAATGATAAATGATTGAGAAACAATAAATTTAAAACGCACAGATGAATCAACGAAATTAGAAAAATTGGAAAATTTCTCGCGTATTGATGAGCTCCCCGATATTGATATTTGAATGTAATTATGGTTGAGCTTTCCATCGTTTTGAATTTTTAGAATTTGGATCATTTGCCTGTAGAGAAAGTACAGCTGGCTGTGCAAGAGAATGGAACCACACGGTCTGTTTCGGCTTTGGTAATGATTTTTTTTTATATTGACAATAGTAATGAATGTTTTTGAGACTTCTTGAACAAGTGGTTTGTCTTTTTTTTATTGCAGTCAAATTTTTGGGTGGAGAAGCGACACTTTCTACACTATGAGGAGCCATTTATTTATGGAGATAATGGGCAGGAGATCCTGGGATCGAAAGACAGATGGTTGAAGATTTTGAATCATTTAAATAAGGATTTCCAGTGGCTGCTGTGTCTCCCTTATCACAAGTGAGAATTCATTGACAAAACATAAAAAGGCAGTTTTTAAATTTCAGTTCATTATTTATGAGAAATTGTCAAGACATTTTTTATTAGCAATTTTCAATAAAAAATGCCCTTCGACATTTTTTCTCAAAATCAATAATTATCCGAATAATTAGGGAAATTCATTGCCAATTGGATTTTTTATCTTTCAACATTTTCACTTTCACATTCATTCTAAACCATCTATTCACCTAAAATATCTTTCAGATTCTGGTCTAATATTATTTACAACGAATCCATAATCAAGTCAATGTCAATTTTCCTCGTCGATTCTCCGACATTTTACACCATTGAGAAATTCCCCAACGACGAGAGAATGCATGGAGCTTTTGAACATCTCGCTCGTAACGTCCTGATAACATTCGCGAGAATAGTGACGAACCAAGAGAGTTCAATTGAGTTCATGGATAAAGACTACCACGGTAAATTGATATACGATAAATATCTGATGACAGTTACAATCATGTGGGATCTGTGTCAACTCTACGGTCGTGATAATGATAAAGTCGTGGAGAAGATAGTCAGCAGTGCGATTAAACTGAATCCCCTGTATTCAACTGATTTCAAACAGGCTGTTGCATTTCTCATCGAGGTCTTCACAACCATTGAACAAAAAATTGAAAATTCGAGATCAAAAGACCTAGAGATGAGTGTTAAAGACATTGAAGATATGGTAGTGCATTTACTGGATCTCTCGACGACTATTGAAGTCTTTTTGAAGATATATTCTCCAGCTATTCAGTTGTTTTCTACAGACAACTTCATTGCAAAGTAAGTAAAAAGAGCGAAACAAAGAATAAAATTTTGAGGAGAGAAATTGTTAACATAAAAAATAATTCATAAAAATAACTGCACAAACCACAACAATTTCGAAGTTATTTACGGAATTCAATCATCAATAAAAAATTTAAAAAACATGCCAATAATAAGCAGTTATATGTTATATTTTTTATTTATCAATTCTGTACAAGTTTTAATTTCATTTAAACATGTCTCTTCATGTCTTTATTCAGGTAGAGAAAATTTCGAGATTTATTTCAATATATCAACATTTTTTGCAGACTAGTAACAGTTTACGGGACAACTCTCCCCCAGATCTACAAACAATTAGAGATCATCGGTTGTGATGAGGATAATCTGATTGACTACGCTGAGACAAAGCATTTCCTAGAAATCACGAGAGTATCGATGATCAAGGTCTTCAGGACCATTATCCACCGAGACATTGCTCTGATCCTGGAACAGCCTGATCCATCCAAAGACAAGGACGCCAGTCAACGTGTGGACAAGTTTCTGAATCACCTGACTGCAACTGTTATGGAGAAGGACTTCCTCAAGGATTACAACACATTCTACCCCATCGACATTGATCTAGATCTTGTTGCCCAAATAACTGATGAGATCGATCACTTGAAGAAGAATTTTATACTTCAGTCTGTCTCTCTGGCATTAGTGGACCAAAATCTTCCTATTAATGCTATTGATCCATCCATCAATGTAAGTCACATAAAAACGTCAAAACTTTTTCGATAATGAAGTAAAAAAAAAATTATGTTCCTTTCAAACACTTTGAAATAATGAATGACAAATCTTCATCTTTTTTTCAGTGTTTCCAGAATTCATCCAGGATTCATTTAAACGCTTCAGCTAGCCACAAAAAAAATCATGAAACACCCCAGACAAATTATGTGAATAACACTCCTGCTGATACTAAAAATCAAGAGGATGGACTGCTAGATCTCATCAAAGAAGTGAAAGGAATAATGTGCCACTTGGGAGAAGGATTCATCGCTCAATGTCTGAAGCACTACAATAACAACCCATCAGCTGTGATAAACGCCCTCCTGGAGGACAGTCTACCGCAGGACCTGAAGGGGCTGGATCGAGAGCTGCCTTATATCCCACCAGATCCTATGGCAGCTTCCGCAGCTGTTGACGAGACACTCGGTTTCCAGCGTCTCAATGTCTTTGATGGGGATGAATTTGACATCATGACTCGTGATAGCATCGACACGACGAGGGTTCACAAAGGAAAAAAGTGTGTATTTATGACTTTGATTTGACTTCTTATTTTACTAAAACAAACGTTGATGCCATTCGATATTCCTTTTTTTTTTCAATTAATTGTTTATAATTGTTCTCATTGTCAAAAGCAATACGACCGCTGAGAATCATGCCTCAATTTATCAGCTATTAAATTTTCATTATACAATAAATGATTTGCTCATGATCTAATTCCTAAACAGATTGTGGAATAATTTTCTTGGTGAACTAATCTAATGTTTTTGTTATTTATTCCAGAAAAGACAAATACAAAAATCTCGACGAAATGTTGAACGACAAGTCATTTAAGAACGAGATGTCAACTATCTACCAAAAATATGGAATCGTTGAAGATGAATACGACGACGAGTATGATGACACTTACGACAGTCAAGACGTGGGTCCTGGAGGTGTAGATGACCCCGTGGAGATGGATGCCAAGTCCTTCACAATCCCCAGGATCTTACGAGTAGCAGAAAAACCTGAAGAGCGCCTGTCAGAGGATGACAATGACGAAGAGGAGGAATCAAAACCTCAGACGAGTCAAAATGGCAAAGCAAATTTCTGTGAGAATCCAGAGGTATTGAGAGCAAGAGCTGAACAGCGTCGATTATCGAGGGGTGGAGTTAGGAATAAACCCCAGGGGGATGTGGTTGGAAAGCCCAAGGGTCAGGGGAACGAGAAGGACGTTCTTGTGAATAGGGATAAGAAGAACACCAATAAATCGTCAAGGGCTAATCATAACAGAAGGTCTGGAGCCGAGTGGAAGCGACGGCAGGGCATGGTACCATCTTAATGGATGAATTGATGAGAAATTGATAGATTTTATTAAAAAATGTAATATTCAATGTAAAAATTATCTTTATTAAAGATTAAAATGTTTATATGAAAATGATACATTCTTCAATTTGTACTGGGACCAGAGCATTTTTCATTATTAATATACCATGATTAAATATTTACATTTAAAAGCTGAATGGATACAGTACATTATTAATTTGAAATTTCCTCACTATTGGGTTTATTTTCCACTATTATTTTAAAAAAGGTTTTTTGAAAATGATCATTTTTGGAGACTTCAGAGTAAAACTGAACGGCGATTGAAGAACATTTTACATTATCAAAATAAAAGAAAACAATCAAGATCACGTTCGAATATAGACGCGGACCTTGAAACACTGGCTCACTTAAAAAATAGATTAAAAAAAAATTAATTCAGAAGCCAACAAAGGATTCAATAAACGATTTAACAGATACAACCACATTATCACGAAGTATATGCAATTTTCCTATGGTTTCACAATAGTTAAACCTCTGATCCTAGTCATTTCCTCATTAATCTTGCCATGATACTCCTCATCGGACATGACTGGAGATGACGGCGAATGGGACGGATTATAAACCGGCGGCATCAACTGAGTGAACAATTTCGTAGTGTTTCCATAATAATCCAGTTGATTTAAAATAAGTGCATGTACACTGGGCTTTATATACTCCAGACGTTTTTCGAGGAACCAAGGGAGTTCAATGAGCAATCGAGAGTGAATGAGCTTCAGTTCTTTGGCAGCAACTTCCTCGCTCCTCCTCTCACGCTCCACCTTGGCGATATGGCTCGCAGTTCTATCCTTCTTCTCCTGAAGCTTTTTTATTCTGTTATAGGAGCACTTCCATGTGCCAACTAGTTCCTCTCGTTTCGCAAGGGCATCTTCCACCAGAGCGAATTCATCCCTTAGTTTTTTTAGGGGCTCCACGAAGGTTTTCCCAGTAAGTAACGAGAACTCATGGACTGTTTTGCCTGCTTGGGTTGTCACCGAGTGATAATTCTCTACTATTCTTCGAAAATCGTCGGAGAGGTGAGCTAGACCACTTGTACTCAAATTTGATGATAATCTTTGGTCCGCACGATCCAAGTTTATTATGGCTTCGAGGTATCGCTTTGCTTCTTTTGTCAGTTTTCGAATTGTTCCTTCAACACTGAAAATGGGCGGAAAATGAAATGGTGAAATTGGCTTACGGGCTACATTCCTCATTCCCAAATTTTTCTATCTGAAAATTGGCTTTTGAATTTTCTTTCCGAACATTTCTCACTAAAAATAATAGTTGATGTGAGGCAAGAATTTGAAATAAAAATACAGATTTCAATTTAAGGCTCGAGTGGATTATCTTTCGAAAGTTATCTCGATTGTTTTTCCATCTTCATAATGTAACATATATTCACAACTTCCATTGGATTTTACATCGCGTAGGAGTACCTAAAAATTATGATTGTACAGTCAAAACTGAATAGCAATTGGAGATCATTTCAACATTATCAACTGAATATAATGTGAAAAATTGATAGATTTGCAATTTTTCTAACGTAATTTTCCATATTAGCTCAAAGATTTGGAAAAAGGAGAAATTAGGAAAAATTTTTACCGAGAAACATAGAGAAACCCGTTAAATTTGATAAGATTTACTTGACAAAAATTGAAAATTGAAAATATAATTTCCAATGTCTGTGATGAATTACTACTTCGAAAATTATCATGTTTTTATGAAAACTTTCTTTTTGGTCCACAACTAAATTAATTCAACACAACAAAAGATCTCTTCGAGGGAACATATAATTTTTCGGCATAACTAATTTCTTCTCCCAGAAATTAGTTATGCCGATGGGAGAAATTGCAAACTTCCTTGTTGTTGATTTTCAGTATTAACAAGGGTATTCATAAAAAAGCATCCATCCCCCTTCGACGTTTACCACTTTAATGGTAAATTATAAATTCAAAAATTATATGGAGAATTGACATACTTGATTAATCTCTGCACAGCAATATCGAGATCCCGATCTTCATTGGGTGTTATCAGTGGAGGTGCTGGAGTTGGTCTTAGTGTTAGATAATTTTTCTTCCGTGGATTCCTAAATGAATAATGGAAATTAAAATCTGAATAAATTATTCCTTCAAGGATCATTTCTAAGTGTAACTCACCACGTCATTTCTATTCGGTGCGTTTGTATTCGATTCCTCAAGTCTTAACGTGACAGCGAAAAATAATAAATCGGTTGGAATGTACGTCATTCCGTTTGTGATGAGGAGCCGTGAGGTTAGGTCGAGCCGTGCAAAGATTGGCAGCCAGTCGTCTCTCTCGTTATCCGAGCCTCTTCAAGTTTAGTTGGCTCGTTATTCGACTGGCGTGGCAGTAGCGAAATTTGGATGGGAGCATCCTTTGGGCAAAATTCCAAAGGACCAAAATCCCAAACCGGAAATGAGGGAGGGGGAATGCTGAAATAAGAAGAGGTGCCATCTAACGATCGGAGTGAAATATAGTATCGCCTTGTTCCTGCAGAACAACACGATACGATGAGAATACTACCGGGAGCGCCCGGTATTTTTTTTTTTTTCAAAGGAAATATTGATCGAAGAGCAAATTCATTACAACAATAATATTCCGTGGCTATCGAACGCAATCGGAACAATTTTCATTAAAAAGAAATGTTTTGCAACAGCAGTAGGAGTTTATCGGGCGAGAACGACTACAATTTTTTTCTTTGAAAATAATAGATTTTCAATAAATTTTTGACAACATTTATACATGCAGTCTACCGGGTGGAACCGGCACTTTTTTCCCGAGGGAATATTATTTTTCCAACAATCTTTGACAACAATAATCTAGGCAGTCTACCAGGCGAAACCGGTACAGTTTTATTTTAGAAAGATATCTTTTTTTTGCATCGAAAGCTTCCATAAAAATGTATGCCACAGTCTACCGAGTGAAACCGGTACGGTTTTCTGCCAAGGAAACCATAAATTTTCAACAACAATAATATAGACAGTCTACCGGGCGAAACCGGTACAGTTTTATTTTTGAAAAATATATTTTTTTTTGCAACAAATGCTGTCATAAGAATGAAACCAACAATCTACCGGGTGGAACCGGTACGGTTTTCTGCCAAGGAAACTATAAATTTCCAACAACAATGATATAGACAGTCTACCGGGTGAAACCGGTACAATTTTCTGCTGCGGAAACATTATTTTTTCTAAAAAATTTCAACAACAATAATATAGGCAGTCTATCGGGCAGAACCGGTACGGTTTTTAAAAAAAAAAAAACTTTTTTTGCAACAAATGCTTTCATAAGAATGAAACCAACAGGCTACCGGGTGGAACCGGTACGGTTTTCTGCCAAGGAAACTATAAATTTTCAACAACAATAATATAGACAGTCTACCGGGTGGAACCCGTACAGTTTTCTGTCAAGGAAACCATAAGTTTTCAACAACAATGATATAGTCAGTCTACCGGACGTGACCGGCACGGTTTTATTTTAGAAAAATAGTTTTTTTTTTGCAAACAAATGCTTTTATGTAAATGAAAGCCACAGTCTACCGGGTGAAACCGGTAAAATTTTCTGCTGGGGAAATATTATTTTTTCTAAAAATTGTCAACTACAATAATATAGGCAGTCTATTGGGCAGAACCGGTACGGTTTTATTTAAAAACAAAATCTTTTTTTGCAACAAATGCTTTCATAAGAATGAAAGCCACAGTCTACCGAGTGAAACCGGTATGGTTTTCTGCCATAAGAACCCTAAATTTTTAACAACCATAATATACAGACATATACCCGACTGCCCGATAGACTGTCTACCGGGCGGAACCCGTACAGTTTTATTTCTTTTTAATATTTTTTTTGCAACAAATGCTGTCATAAGTATGAAACCAACAATCTACCGGGTGAAACCGGTACAATTTTCTGCTGGGGAAACATTTTTTTTTCTAAAAATTTTCAACAACAATAATATAGCAGTCTACCAGGTGGAACCGGTACAGTTTTATTTTAGAAGAATATCTTTTTTTTGCAACAAATACTTTCATAAAAATGAAAGCCACAGTCTACCGGGTGGAACCGGTACCGTTTAATTAAAAAAAAAAATCTTTTTTTGCAGCAAATGCTGTCATAAGAATAAAACCACTGTCTACCGGGTGGAACCGGTGCAATTTATCGGACGGAAATACTTTTCCAAAAAAAATTTAACAATATTATAGGCTGTCTACCGGGCGGGGACGGTACAGTTTTGTCTTGAAATAATATTGTTTTTGCAACAAATATCATGGTCCTGCAGATATATGGGGCATTCCATGTCAACTCGTGAGGTTTTAAACCTCATGGTGGTTTATGGTTTAAAGGTTTTAAACCTCAACTTCGAACGCAAGTTCTGGGTTCTGGTGATGAGTTACATGGAAAATTGTAGGGACAAAAAATGTGTTTTTGGATGAAGGAATGGAAAAAAAACGATTTTTTAATTCCATGTTATTTGGACATTTTTAGAGCATAAAAACCGTAATTTTGATAATATGAACTACAGATTAAGTAAATCATCCAGTGAACTGATTTAAAAAAATTATAACAGTGTTGGCACGCATTTTTACCAGAGTGTCAACGAACATTGAATTCCAGACACTTACTCAGTGAGTTATGGTCGAGAAGGAATTGGGTTTGACTTATGATGATTGAAATATTATTCAGTGAGGCGAGCATAGCAATTAGCACATGAGCAAGTCATTTAATGCAATATGCAAAATTAAGAGCTGATAGATTGGGTAATATTATTTTTAGTAGTCGCATTGCTTTTTGCAATGAGAATTATTATGAACAATTACTTGAAAAAACAAATATTGAAATTGACAGGAAAAAGGGCATAATAAAAAGGGCCTCAACAAGCGGCCGGGGTGGCGCTAGTTTTAAAAAAGACGAAGGCAATAAAATAGAAAAATATTTCATCGTTGACGGCAGAAATTTTGCATAAATACCTCTAGATATTAACGATTGAAGTCCAATACGTCACCAACGTTGGAAGTTTACAGGAATAATGCCCTACGTTTTTCTTGGTTTGGCACACTTAGGGATTTTATTTAAACTAATTGCTGTGAAGAAACGCCGAGAGTAATGGCTGCTTTGCACTTCGAAACTTTGCCTATTTCGTCTCCCTTGGGTAAATAGCAATAATGGAGACTGGCAGTTGTAAAATTTATATTTTGCCGGCGCTTTGGCGGAAGCCCTAAAGTTGGATAACTACTGGTAGTCCAGTATGTACGCTGGCTACGTGTGCAATACTCCATCTGGCCTACAAATTCCCACATGAAATCCATTATTCCAAGACCAATCCCAGTTTAGTATTTGAAATCCACAATTATCTTGGCTTGCAATTGGTTGGAAACTAATGATGAACAACGCCATCCACATTTCATCATGAGTGGAGCTGATTCACCACATGATGGTTCTCTTAAAACTACATAAATGTTGGCATTCTAGGGGTAAACGAGGAAATCCTGGCAATCAATGATCGAGCGAATTTTGGGAAAGCGGCGTCAGTTTTTTCCATTTATTCACGAAGCCAACTTATAGAGTAACTTGAATAGACCTTTCAATTTTTAAAATTTTAATACGCCTCCGATTTGTCTTGCTTTCGGTTTTTTAAATCAAAGTTTTTAGTGCAAAAAAGCTTTAGTATCTCATTCGTTCTATGCTGTTAATACCGTGGAAACATGTCTACCGTGTATATTATTCCTCCAGAAAGTGAAGATGAAGAGGAATTGCATGAGGAAAATGAAGAGAACAGTTCAAAAAGAAAGTGCAAGAAGCATTCCCACAATAGGTATATCGTGGAAACAAATCGCTACAATTGGCATGCAACGTGTTGCCTCCGGACGAGACGATAAGAATATTGATACTCGTGTTTTAATATTGTTGGTATAATTTTTTTTTTTCGGTTGAAACAGATTCGTTCAGTGTGTGAACTCGAAATGTCACAGAAAGGGGAAAATTTCCGCTGATAAGGGAACATTTCAGCTCACTCAAGAGCACATGCGAACCTGCACTCCAAATCCTCATGCCGTGGAGATAGAAGAATTCAAGAAGGAATTCAAAGAAGGACTTCGTAAAAATCCTACGCAATCTGGCAAGAAGCTTTATAAAATTAAATAAAATTCGCTAGTAATTTATTGATTATTTAGCATTTCGCAGTCCAAAATCAGTAGATTTGGAAAGGACCGTTCTGGCCCGGTTAACCGACGCGAGGAGAATAAGTCCGGGTTGTGTCGGACGTACACGGCACATTAAAATCCATGACACATTTTCAAAATAGTCGTTCATTATTATTAATTGAAGAACGAGAAGATTATTCATCATGGAGATGCTTTTTAATGATTTTTTTATATCTTAAATACTTCTCCCTTAAGTTTTCTTCTCGATTTGAGTGACATCTTAAAAATACTGATGTTATTCTCTCTCGAGGGATGTTTTTCGAGATACGCAATAGCGTATCAGCCAAAGAAATTATGATAAGCATTTGAAAACAATAGTTAAATTCTACCGGGGACGACCGGCACAATAATCTCTCGGGGAAATCTCGTTTTTGTNACGTATACACACTCAATAAATTTTTGGTCGATCTGAAAGACACTGGAAGTCTACCGGTGCAATTGCCTCTCAACGTTTTTTTCCACTAATAAACATTCGATAACAATAATTATAGTCTACCGGACATGCCCGGCAGGTTTTTCTCTCGAGAAGATTTATTTTGCAGCAAACTCAACTGTGTCAATCTATGCACACGGTCCTGTTTAAATCATAGATTGGTCGTTTTTTTTAGATATCCCAAGGAGATGAGGCTCGCTTACGGCAAAAAGTTGAAGAAGATGGCAACGCGAGCGAAAAGAACGAGTAACCCAGTGATGTCAAAAGATCTGAAAGATATGTACGACAAACTGCAATCGTCGAAGGGCGAGAAGATGCTCCATTATGAATCTGGAAAACCGGAGAGATTGAGCGTACATCTCATTGAGAATCCCAACAACGAAGATGGATCAACGCCCCATTCGTTGCTATTCATCGACTTGGATTACATCCACGACGTGGAGAAGCTGGCTTCACCTCGCACCCTTGAAGGTTACTGCGATTCCACCTTTGACGCAGTGCCTAAAAGGGTGATGGTGAATAAAGTGAAGGGGTATCAGCTTTTAGT